GCGACGCATCACTGCTTTCCACTCTGGAAATGGCTCTGGCCACCTCTCGGTGGGGCTCAACTCTGTGTGGGACTTGTAGCATCTAATTTCAGGCACACCCACCTCGGGAGATGAAACCCGATTTGATCAGCAGAGCTCCAGCTTCCTGCCCTGCCTGCCAGCAACTCATGCACCAGGCTAATGTCCAGAGCCGCTGGAGGTTTTGCCAGCACACCAGCGTGGCCCTAAAGGGACACATCACGACAGGACTCCAAGCCACAAAGTATGGCCAGTATGTGACACATGGGTTTGGGGGAAGAGAGGCAAGCAAAACAGAATCTCTGCATTGTGGCTGATTTCCCGTCCCCAAGGGAAGCTGGAGCATTAGTCAAACTCAGGCGTAACATTTTAAACAAGGAATATAACTTTTAAAATGTCTTTCTCTAGTTAAAAGATGGCAGTGGAGGGAATAAAAACCCTTCTGATTGGCCAAAATGCCTATACATGTCCTCAAGGCCTCAGGCAAACTCAAGATGTCCAGATCCCACTAACCCCGCTAGTGTCCCATATGGATCAGCACTAGCTTTAATTCCCCGACGCAATTACTCATATCAGTGCTGCTGGTTGGGAAAGAGAATAAAATAATGAAGCAGTACTGCCAGCCCCAAACATTCAGAAATCATGAGTTAGCCCCCCCAAATATCATGAGATTTTAAAATGAATGCATGTGGGGGGGAGGTTCCTTTATTTGCCATCTGCTGTGGGAGTCGTCAGGGATTAGGGTTCCCAGTTTTTCTCTGCTGCCATCAGGGCTAGAAACTGTTATTGTTATTTCATGAAAGTCGAGATTGTCCCATCATCACATGAATCCGGCAGCTGGGGCTTTAAGACAAACACTGAACAGCGTGCTAAAAATCACACGATTTGGTAACACACTGCGGAAGGCTCTGGCCTTTCCAGATAGGCTGAGCAAAGCAGCCAGAGCTCCCATTGGCTATCACTGGTGTAAAGGGTGTTCAGTACCTCTGACAATCAGGCCGTAGGTGGCTTGGGGTGGGGACGTGAAAAATGGAGTGCTTCCAAAACCGGAAACTGCTTTGGAATATTTGGGCCTCCACCTCTGCAAATCAGAGATCATCTCTTGCAAAGTGCTTCAGTGTCTTTGGAAGCAAGGTGCAATAGGTACAGTGGCGTAATAGGTAAAGCAACAATAAGGACGTGTTATTTACTCCTTCTCATAACACAAGAACTAGGGGCCACCAAATTAAATGAATAGGCAGCAGGTTTAAAACAAACAAAAGGAAGTATTTCTTCACACAACACACAGTCAACCTGTGGAACTCATTGCCAGAGGATGTTGTGAAATCCAAGACTATAACAGGGTTCAAAAAAGAACGAGATAAGTTCATGGAGGATAGGTCCATCAATGGCTATTCGCCAGGATGGTGTCCCTAACCTCTGTGTGCCGGAAGCTGGGAATGGGTGACAGGGGATGGACCACTTGATGATGACCTGTTCTGTTCATTCCCTCTGGGACACCTGGCATTGGCCACTGTTGGAAGACAGGACACTGGGCTAGGTGGACCTTTGGTCTCACTCAGTATGGCCGTTCTTATGTTCTTATGAAGCTTTTTTGTTTGCCTTTTGCTGGGGATCTGTAGCTCAGTGCCGCTGACGACATTATTAAATTGTTGGGTGCCTTTTTGAAAAGCAGCTCTCCTCGCACGATCCCATCCCAGGCCCGTTACCAACGCTCAGTGGGCTTTACAACCTAAAGCCCTGATTCTGCAAACACTTGCGTGCCTTTAAATCCATGCCAGTTCCCGCGGAGCTCAGTGGGACTTTTGACACGTGTGGCGTTACGCACACATGTAGAGTCCCAGTCGACTGTCCCCCCGCCCCCATTTTACAGATGTGAGGACTGATGCACAGAGAGGCGAAACGCCTTACCCAAGGTCGCAGCGAGTCGATGTCAGAGCTGTGATTCCCAGCCTTCTCCTCTCATCACTAGAGACACAGATCCCTCCTTACCAGCCATAGATATTATCTACAGCTTCCTTCAGTGTGGCAGGATTCCAGCCGGAGGCACGGCTGCTGTTGAGGCGTCTACTGTCTCTCCTGGCTGGAATTCGCTGAGAAGAAAATACAGGGAGAACCGAGCAATTCTGAGCACACGAGAACGTAGCTGCCTTTTGCAGATTTGTTGTTTAATGCAATCTGCTTTGATTACTTTACACGCACTCCCACACCCCCGAAAAATGGGTTGAGAGAAACTTACCATCTCCAAAGAGTTTCTGCCGGGACACAATGGGTCAAACTTTCAAAAGAGCTCAGGGCCACATTTTCAAGGGCTCCTCACCCACCGCTGAAGCCAGACCTTTAGAAGGGCTCAGCTCCCATTGGGGCTCTTATATGTCCATTTGCCAAAGAGTCCAGCACGTTGGGGTACTGAGAGCATGGGAAAGCCACAGGTGCTGGAATCGTTTGAAACTCCTGGCCAGCATGATCAGCAGAAGTTACCAAATCACCCTGAGTTATTTAACAACCAATTGACCCTTCCCTTGGCCAAAGGAGGCCGTGAGCTCCTAAGGGAAGAAGGAACTGAATTCAGGTTGGCTTGGAACAATGTATGCAAGTAGTTCACCAAGGAAACACCCATCTCTGACCTGGGGAGAGTGGGTTCTGGGCCTGATCCTTCACTGGTTTGTATCTGGTGCAGTCATATACACCTGTGTGAAGTGGGAGCTTGGATAACACAAGTTGCAAGGCCAGGGAGTATCAGGTTCTTGGTCTCCAGGCCAAATGGTGCGGGTCCATCAACTTGCTCTCAGTTTGTCTACATATGATTATTCAATCCTGGCTTTCACTCCCTATTACCAATGAGTGCTCAGATCTGCCTGCAGAGAGGTCCCATGGGGACAGAGGGAGAGAGAGAGAGAGAGAGTATATGTGTGTGGCGGGGGGGCATGTTTTCAATGACCATTCACTCCTGAACACTTCCCCACTCTTGCTGACTTTGACTGACTGCATCTGTGCCCTGAAGAGGTCACCTTCTCCAGGAGAGGGGCAGAGGGGGGAAATCAGCTTTTGTTCATTTAGGAGTTGCTCCAACTTTGTTAAAGGCCCCGATCCGGCATACATGTTTCATTTTAAACACAGGAGAAGCTCATTAAAGTCAATCGGGGACCAGGCACATGCGTAAAGTTAAGCACTTACTTATGTGTTTGGAGGATCAGGGCCAAATTCAATAGATTTACAGAGTTTTAAAAGCCAGAAGGGGACCATTAAATCGTCTGGTCTGATCTCCTGTGTAACATGGACTGAAGATGTTTACTCAGTTCCTCCTGTATTGAGCTTAATAACTGGTGATAGACTTTCAGCAGCACGTGGATTGGACTCCCGACCTCATCCTCTTCCAAACCAAATTATATTATGGGTCCCCTAAGGAGGGTATTATCCAAACCTACACTTCACAGCTCTGAGAACTCTTTCTAGAGGCCAGAACTTTATTTTTTTCAATCTCCTTTTCACAGAGATTAAAAAACCAAATTGGACCATCTTAAATTCAAAGTATTTTTATTAACATGATATATACAGTTTTGTCCACTAACAAAGCAGAAAGGCCGTTGGAACAAAGCCCTGACTTTAGAGGGAGCTCTCTTCTCCCCCCACCCCCAACGAAAACTCTTGTTTTGGTCAACTTTATACAAATGAACCTTCTGTACATGTTCTTTTCCCCTCATCTGCCCTTATTTATACAAGGCAACATAAATAGGAACACACGAGAACGCTTCTTAAAACGGCAGCTTTTAAAAAAAAATACAATTATTTTTTTAAAAAATATCCGAGATTTTTTTTTCCCCCTTTTTGGTTGTTGTTTTGTCAAAAAAATAGACATTCTACTTTGACAGGAGCTTAACTGACGTGCGGAGAAAACTTAAACCATTAACAGGCTCATTTCCCTGTTCAAAATAACTTAAATCGTTCCTGAAACACTTTAAATAATTTTTTGCATTTTTTTAAAACAACCCTTCTATGTATTTTCTGAGACTCCTAACAGAAGGTCAGATTCTCAACTGGCGTAAATCAGTGTGACTTCCATTGAGATCAATGCAGATTTATGCCAGTAGGGAATCTGGCCCGGAAGGGCAAAATTCCCCTCTAATCTTGCAGTAACTCTGGATTTACACTGGTGTTACTGAGATCAGAATCTGGCCCTCATCCAGTACGGAGATTTTGGCACTCCAGTTTGCACCAGCCAAAATTCTTCTCTGTAAATCTGGAGTAACACTGGTTTAGAGCAAGATTTACACTGGTGTAAATGAGATCAGAATTTAGCCCTTCCCCACGGCTGGGCTTTTGGTCCTCTCTAACCATGGTCCCTTCAATAATGTTATTAAATGTTTCTATAGTGTCCAGTTCTGTACAATAGACATATCTAAAAATTGACTTTATTTATTTAGAATATATAGAATTTTTTTTAAAAGACTACAAAGTGTGGTACCTCTTATTGCATTTTTCTTTTTAGCTTAAATGGTGCTTTCATCTCCAGTCTGACCCTTGCAAGGGTGGATGAGAGGGAAGACGCAGAGACAATTACTTTCCCTTCTCTATCATCTGGGCGTGATGAAAAATCCTACCCTGATGTGGATGAAGCCAAGTGGTTTTTTGAAGTCCCGCCAGCTGAGATGTTCTTCCAGAGTCCTCAAGGAGACACCCCACAAACAGCTCACCCGGGAAGGTAAAAAAACCAGTCGTGCTGTTTTCGAACGCTTGGAGACGTGCGGTGTCTCTTGGCCTCTGTCCAGATGAGAGGTGAGTCTCTGGCACAGATCTCCAGGTGGAAGAATCTTCCCATTCACTGTGCCTGGTGGTGGTGGGTGGGATGGTGGTGCAGGGGGGCCGGGGACCCCGTAGAAAGTAGGGGTGGGGTGAAAAGGAATTGGCAATTCTGAATCTTTTCCAAAAAATAAAAATCCAAAACCTCTTCCCCAACCCTGCCCCACCCTTGCCTGCCCGCCACCACTCCTGCCTCGCTTGTGGATCGTCCTCTGATCGTTTTAACCCTTTGCAGCTCTGCGGGTCCTGAGACGGGCTGGGATGTTTGCGTGTGTCTGCCTTTGTCCTGGAAACAAACCCACGTTTTAAAAAGGGTCTGGCCGCGACGGTGACAATTTCCTCTCTTGCTCCCCTGGTCCAAGGAGGCTGGAGGTTAGTACACGGCCCCCGGATTGGGAGGCGGCCCGGGGGGTGTATGATGCATGGTGTTAGTGGGCAAAGCTTGATGCGGTAAGTGAGGTCCACTGAGGTTCTGGTGATGGTACCAGGGGTTGTGCTGCTCCTCCATGTAGCTTGGGGAAGAGCTGTAGGGGAGCTGCTGGGGGAGCTGGTTCCTGCTGGAGGGGTTGCTGTGAGAGTTACTGTCCCAGAGGGCAGGAGAAGGCGGAGAATTGCAGGCCATGGAGTCGCTGTTATTGGGGCTGTGTTCCAAGGGTACTTCCCCGTTTTTGTAGAGCTTCTTGAACTTGGATCTCCGGTTCTGGAACCAGATTTTCACCTAGAGAAGGAAGGAAGGGAGGGAAGTGTGACTTTCTGGGTCCCTTTTACGTACATGGTCAATACACCACCGAAGGGAGGCAGAGGGGACGGGGGACAAATGGAGTGGCGCGTGAACAGAAATGTCACAGCGTGGGCAGATTTGCTTCTCTGTTTAGCCTAAGGTGCAGGGAGGGGTTTGTCCCCAAAACAGGTTGTTGCTTTGACAGCTAATGACGAGTTCCTTTGGACATTTATAAGTGGCCCTGTTGCTACAAAAGTCACCAGGCCGGGCAGGACAGTGATGAAACCGGGACTAGGGCAAACCTGATGGGGTTCATTTCAAATACTTGAGCGGGTTCCTGTTCCACTTAACGAGCCGCCGGGGAGAGGAGGAGACAAAGAGAGAAATTGAAGGGTGGTGAGGAAGAAGGCGGGTGAGACGGGAAAGGCAGATGTATCCAATGTGACAGGGAGAACCAGGAAGGAGAAGATAGAACAGCCAACAAAGAGCCAAAGGAGCATAGAGTCAGTGTTGCCAAATTTCACAATATCTGGTGTTTCCGTAAAGCCCCAGCTCCTCGCATCCTGTGATTAGGTGAGCACCTCCGCTCTCATTTAAAAAGAAAGTTTCTAGCCCTCAAGACGGCAGAGAAAAGCCTGACAACATGACCTGACTGTTCACGACAGGCTCAACCCCCCCCGAAATAATGCTTATGAGAAATCTCATGAGTTTTAAGAGGATCTTGTGATTTTGGGGGGAGGCCTGGCTCGTGGTTTCTGAACACTGGGGGTTAGCACTACTGTAGCATTTATGCTGTATAGGGAGTATCCACGCCTTATGCCATACATGGGGCACTCAGCTTCAATTTAAGGGGATCTTTCATGCACGATACAGCTTGCAGTGCAGAATCCCCAACCACATTAAAATAAACAAACCAACAACAACCACAAAAAACCCCTAACAAATCAAACCCCTTTTAAAGAAGGGAATCAAAAAGAAACAGCTCCCTATCATGTCGCAATCACTCAGAGGGTGTAAGGCCCTTATGGCACAGAACATCTGCTCTTGGGCTAACAGCCCACGGAAACACGCTGACCTGGAACTTTATTTAGATCTGGGCAATTAAAAGTGAGCCTGTTGTCACCATCTATGACCAGCCCTGCATTCCTAACTCCAGCGATGCTCCTGTTGACATCCGCAGAAGCCCGGCCTGTAAGGGACAGCAGAAGCAGATTGCCCCTTGTTATGGGTGGGGCTGGATGTGACCCTCCTCAGAGTTTGGAGGTGTTCCAATTTTCGGGTGAGGGATGAGGGGGATTCACTCATCTCCGATCTGGAGGTGGGGGGAAGCTGTTCAGACTCCTTTCTATTAATCTTTCCCTTTACAAAGAGCAGCCACTCGTGGTCACAACGCCCCCCCCCCCCCCGCCCACAGATACTGTAGCGGTCTAATGTGATGGTGAAGTAAGGATAGAGGGGTTGGGTATAATCTCTTTTGGATTCCACTATTTCAGGCTTAAACGTTCTATCAATGGAACTGAGGACCCTAAATACCTTTGAGGTTCTGGGCCTAATGTATTAAAAGACTCTTTTAAAAAAAAAACAACCCCTCACCTGCAAGAGCTTGAGCATATTCACAAGTGCAACACGCACACAAAGAAATGAGTTCTGGAACCCCTGACTCCAGGGTCTACACTAGATTACCCCTAACTAAAACCCCACTTACCCAAGTGGTGTTAGCATCCACAGATATGGTCCTACCCATTCCAGCCCAAGGGCTGCTCTGGTATAAATTAATGGTTGAATTCTGAAGAGGCGTAAAAAAAAAAAAGAAAAAAAAATCCAGACAGGACCCAAAGATCCGTCACTGCCCAAAGAGAGGAAGGGATACTTCTTCCTGGTTTTCTAGACCAGTGGTTCTCAACCTGTCGCCCGCAGATGTCTAGGGGGTCCACAAAAGGTTGTCGCTATGAGCCCTGGGGGGTCCTCCGACTACGTCTAAGATTTCCAAAGTGGGGCCGCACCTCCGCTTGAAATTTTGTAGGGGTCCGCAAACGAAAGAAGGTTGAGAACCACTGAGCTAGACTCTTCGGCCCACTTCGCCAAACTGTGCCGGGAATCCAGTGAGTCGACACGAAGGGGAAGGAACGCCGAATTGAAGTTGGTTCTCTGCACTTGATCCGAATCAGTGAGCTATAGAATGGGCCCTGAACCTTTAAGCACTGATCATCTTTGGGGAGGGGGAAAAATCTCCCCCATCGGGGGGGAAAACAAAGCCAATCCATTTTCATTTATCTGGGCCCGACTGGGATGGCTGGGGTAAGTCAGGAATCAATGCATTGACACAGGTGAGCGCAAAGAGGGTTGGGCCTCTCTTCGCCCACATGATTGAGCACAGCGGTAGGAAATGTATCCAAATACCTAGAGAAAACCCACCTTTTTGTTCCCACTGTCTCAGAAAGCCGGCTCCTCCACAATGGGTCCCTGTCTGATTGCGTAAGTGCTTTAATCTAAGCCCACTAAACCCAAGGGCTGTACAGAGTTGGCAACAAGTGCACTCTCTCTTGCTCCCCCCCACGCAGAGGGGAAAGGTTTTTTTTAATTCTTTTTGAAGTTACCTGTGTCTGAGTCAGCCCCAACTGAGCAGCCAGCTCGGCTCTCTCGGGCAGAGCCAGGTACTGAGCCTTTTGGAACCTCCTCTGCAGAGCCGCCAGCTGGTAGCTGGAGTAAATGGTTCTGGGCTTTCGGATCTTTTTGGGTTTCCCGTTGACCATCCTCACCTCCGGTTCTGGTTCTTCCTTCACCGAGACTGGAAGTGAAAAGGGAACATGTCGGAATCTCAGCAGCTGACTTGCCCCCACCCAGAATGTTGTAAAAAACAACCCCAGTCTTTGGAGGGTGGTTTCCGACCCTTATCCCTGCTGGGAAGAGACGAGGAGGGTGGGGTGGGATTTAAGGGTGACCAGCTGTCCCAATTTTATAAGGACAGTTCCGATTTTGGGGATTTTTTTTCTTATATAGGCTCCTATTACCCCCATCCCCTGTCCCGATTTTTCATCTTTGCTGTTTGGTCACCCTAGATTTAAGCCTCCGTCTAGAAAACCTCACCTCCCAGATGCAGAACCCCAAGGCTGTGGCGTGAGAAGTGACCCAGGAACCTGAACTGTACGTATGGCGAGTGAGAACAATTGTAGAGGAGTTAAGGGCTGATTACTTGGAGAAATCGCTGTACAGACTCCAGGTAAAAGCTTTCAGAAGCACAGCAAGAAAGGAGTATTTGGGGAGTTGTTCTTTAGCACACAAGGTCTTTCATTTCTCGCCCTCCCCCTTTGTGGTTTTTTCTGTCTCTCTCTTTGGTGGGTTTTTCTCTTCCTTTCTCTCTCCCTCTCTCTTCTTTTGGTACATTCTGTCTTGCCTTTTCCCTCTCCTGTCCCTGGCCATCTCTTCCTGTGGCTCCATTTCACTAGCTCCCCAAACTCCCAGCTCACCCCAGCCTGCCTGTTTCTCTGCCCAGGGGCTCCCCACCTGGTTCTGATCTGCTGGAAACCAACTGGTTCTCAGAGTTGGCCCCTCTCTTCCTCTCCCAGCCCATGGGGTGGGTTGTGACAAGCCTGTCTCTAAAGCAGCCTCAGGTCCCAGCTGCTTGGATGTTTCCCAAGCTTTATTTTTGAGGGGTGGGGGTAGAATTGTTCAGTAAGTGGAAATCAGGGCAGGATCGATTTCTCCCTTTCCCCACGTCCCTTTCTTTTAGGGCAGCAGACTCTAGGCTTCTCTGATCTTCCTACTTTCCTATCATCCCCCAGCACCTCAGACTCGCTTTAAAAACCACAAGATTATTCACAAATAAAACACTTTCCCACCCATATTCCCCTCCCCCAGAGCTGCTACCTAACCATCATCTTCCTGTCCAGTCATGGCATGGGTCATTCTCTCTACCCCAGCAGCCTGGGCTGGAAAGAGAGACAACCTATCCCCCCCCCCCCCCCCGCACTCCCCCCTCCCATGGTTCTCCTTTTCCATCAACTAACCTGAGTTGTCCTGAAGTTTCTTAAGATTTCAGGGGCAAAGGTGAGTGGAAGATAGCTGTGGGGGGTGGAGATTGGGAAGGGTAAATAGCCACCCTGACTGGTGGCACAGAAAATAAAGGTCAGGAATTTGCCAGAGACAAAAGGAGGGAGAGTGTGTGGGTGGCTGGGAAAAGTAATCTTTTAAATCGGAGCCGGAGTTCAGAAAGTTGTGCGTCCGAACCTGGATCTAGCAAACAAGCCCCCCACCTTCAGCAACTCCCTCCCTCTCACCACCCCACTTTTGTGTGATTCAAGAGGCAGTCTCCTGTTGTGTGTGTGTGATATTGACAACTCTCCTCTCATTCGAATACACAGGCGGAGGGGCGGCGGGGGGGGGAGGAAGGAAGAGCTGTTGCTGACTCCAAGAAGTGACTCCTTTCCATACCACCCCCCCATCTCCGGACATCCACCCACCCCACCCCCATGCCCCTGGATCACTAGGGTCGGGGGGCTCCTTACCTGCTTCCTGGACCGGCAGCTGCTGCTCCCTGAAATGCCCATACTGCCTGTAGGAGGGGCTGTAGGGGTACTCGGCCTTGGTGGGGTAAGTCCCAGCCCCCGCGAGCCCGTTGAGGCCGAACTGGTGGTGGTAGGAGTAGTGGTTGACGGGCTGGCTGTAGGGCTGGCTGGGGTAATAGTCGTGCTGGCTGTGGGGGGCGCTGTAGTAGCCCAGGTCAGTGACCGAGGACTCGGGCAAGGTGGGGGAATCCTTGGAGCAGCTCAGGGAGCTGGAGAGGTCGGTCAGGATGCTGGTGATCTTCTTATCAAAGGAGCCACTCATGGTGCGGCAGGAGGCAGGGGCAGGTGGGATCCGCTCCCTTCCCCGGGCCAGAGCCGCTGGACAAGCACCAGATCCGCTGCGGCGTGCGTGCGTGGGTCTCTGTCGCTCCCCGAAGGGGTCAGGCGAGCATTCCTCCTGCAGGCCAGCCGCTGAGAGCTCCGCGGGCGGCGGCTGCTGCGAGGCGACGAAGCAAAACTCCCCAGCCCAGCCAGCCTGCTTCAAGCCTTTAATTATGGTGCAGGGCAGGGTGGATGCTGCGCGCCGATTGGCTCCAGACATATTGCCTGGGAGGCAAAACTGACTCTTTTTTTTTTTTTTTTCCTTTTCTTTTTGCAACAACAAAGAGTGGGTGAAAAAAAAAAAATCCAAGCTCCCAGCCGCCCTGTCGGCCGAACCCCTGCAGGGAGGCAGGGGGCAGCTGCTGGGCCACAGCTCCAGATCTGGGGCTAGAGGGGGAGAGTGTCTATAGGGGTATAAGTGCCTGGGGGTCCAGAGGGATATATGGAGATGGGTGTGTGTGTGTGTGGCGGGGGGGGGTGTCCTTTGGGTGTCCCTAAGAGCATGTGTGTGCGGATCTGGGGGGGTGTTTTTCGAGGAGAGGTTTTTGTGGCTAGGGCTCCGGGTAGGTCTGTGGGGGGCGGGGGAGTATGTCTAAAGCCATCTGGGTAGGTCTGTGGGGGTCTGTCTGTGTAGGACTCTGGGGAGCGTCTAGAGAGGTCTGTGGGATGTACATATGTCTATAGGGGGTCTGTGTAGATGGGGGGGTGTCTGCAGGGGTCTGTGTAATTCTGTGGGAGCTTAGACTGTAGGGGTTTGTCTAGATCTGAGTATGTCTATAGGGGTCTGTAAGTCAGTGGGGGGTGTCTATAGGGGTCTGTGGGAGTGTCTGTAGGGGTCTGTGTAGGTCTGTGGGGGGTGAGTATGTCTATAGGGGTCTGTGGGGGTGTCTGTAGGGGTCTGTGTAGGTCTGTGAGGGGTGAATATGTCTATAGGGGTCTGCGGGGGTGTCTGTAGGGCTATGTCTAGGTCTGGCGGGTGTTTTGGGGGAGGGTGTGTGCTGGGGTGGGTGAGGGTAACCACCTCCATGGGATGCCAGTAGTTAAAGCTCTGGGAGGCTTTGTCCCTACCCTCTAACACCCCCCCACCCCGCAAAATGTGCCCAAGTTTCCAACAGCAGCAGCCCAGGCAGGTGGCCCCTTGCCAGCCTGGCCACTGCACTTCTGGGCCCCGCTGTGGGTTTGCCCCTCGCTCCTGTTTGTTCCTCTCATGAGAACATCTGCTCCTGGAGTCCTTTCACCCAGGCCGGCCTGGCCCTGCTGCAAGCCCTGCAGCATCCTTCAAGGGCAAAGCTCCTTGTCCTGCCGCTCCCAGTACTGGGGATCCTTTGGTCTCTCCCCACCACCAATCTGGCACCTGAACTTTCATTTTCCCCTCCAAAATCAGATAAACTAGAGCTAGTGGGCTTCACTACGGCCTTCCTTATGCCCTGCTTTGAATGGGCCGTACTCCTCCTATAACGCCCTGGCTTGCTAAGGGCACGTTCGTTTTGCAGTCGGAACTCTTGGGGAAATCCTTGCATCCCCCCGTCTCTTAAAAAGGGGAGGGGGCATAATGAATGTGTTTCTCTGTTAATTCATGTCCTTGTTTCGTCATGTGGACTCTGAATGGCCCTGGGGGGAGGCCGGTTCGGACACTCACTCGTGGTCCATTTTATTTCTCTTTCCAGAGAGATCTCCCCGTTTTTTTTTTTTCTCTTTAAAGTCCTTCTCTCTATTCCCATCCGATCACACGCAGACCTTCAGTCTCTACCTGTTTCAGAGCAGCAGCCGTGTTAGTCTGTATTTGCAAAAAGAACAGGAGGACTTGTGGCACCTTAGAGACTAACCAATTTATTTCAGCCGAAGCTTTCGTGGGCTACAGCTCACTTCATCGGATGCATCCTGTCTTTCCCTTCCCTAAAACTCTCCTGGTGAGGATTGGCCCTGCAAGATACAGGATGCACAGTGCAATTCCGCCACCTGCTGGGCACTCGGGGGCACTGCCGAACCTGTGTTCTCAACAGGTCGCACCCACCTGGGAAGGAGGGAGGCACAGTACCCCCCTCCATTCAAAACCCACCCACGTTTTGTCCTGGCTTTTTACAAACAGGCTCCAGGCGAGGAGCACAACCAGGAAACAGCAGAGGAAGAATCTAGCAGGGACGTAGGATTTTTGTTCTCTCTCATCACAAAATCAATAGGTACCACCCCCGTTTCAGGTATTGAATAAACGGAGAGATGGGAATAAATAAGAGCTTCAAATGATCACGGAAACCGGGGCTTGGCGTATTTAGCTGATCCAAGGGAAAGTTAAGAGGTGATGTGACTGAGGTCTATAGCGGGGGGAGGGGGTCCTCAACCTTTCTCTTTCCGACCCTCCCACTGCCCCCAACGTGCTGTAAAAATTCCACGGCTACACCTGGCACTAGGGGGTAGCACGCAGGGCAGTTGCCCAGGGTCCCACGCCACAGGGGGCCCCACGAAGCCACATTACTCAGGCTTCAGCCCCGGTTGGTGGGGCTCAGGCTTTGCCTTTCTGCCCCAGTGAGTCTAAGGCCGGCCCCTCTCTGGTTGGCGGACCCCCTGAAACCTGCTCCTGGCCCTCTGGGGGGGCCCCAGACCCCCTTGTTGAGAACCACTGGTCTACAGCTAACTCCCCGGGGAAGAGATTACAGAGAATAGCAGAAAAAGCCACAAGGAGAGCCTATGGCTGGAAGGTGAAGCTAGACAAATTCCAACTAGAAATAAAGTGCATGTTTTTAACGTCGTAATTAACCACTGGAACAACTTGTCTAGGGACATGGGGGATTTAAAGAAAGCCAGGAGCTCTTTCTAAACAATATGGAGGCTTGGCAGAATTCAGGTTTTGTTTTTTTATAGCTTTGACTGCTGATACCAATGGTTATTTTTAAGCCTTTTTTTATTTTGATCTAGTTACATTTTCACAGCTGTGAGAAATTATGGGGTTTAAGCATTTTTCTGGCCAATTTAAATGTTCACAGTCGCCGGTAATTACCAAAGGTGGAGGGGGTCAGACAATGGCGGGGGTGGGGGGAACAATAATTATTGTAGCAGAGATTCAGAAAGTTAAAGCTTTGTAACCATTAAAACAGCATCAAAATATACAAAGTAAATATCCTTTAATCCCTAATAACTTCTTAGGAAGCATTTTGCTTACTTTGCCTGTCTGTACTTTTAAATGATTATTGATGGGGAAAAAAATTCATCAGTTTGTGTGCGTGTACAGTGACTTTTACGGATACAAATCGAATCCCTCCAAGCCTAGCGATATGCTATAGGTCAAATGGAAGTTAGGGACTTGATGCAGGAATTACCGGGTGAGATTCTCTGGCTTGTTATGCAGAAGGTGAGACTATACAATGGGCCCATCGATAAATACATCTAGTTGGGATCAGAAGCACTTTCCCCTACTTTGTATTCCAGTTTTTACTCTCTGTATGGCAGTAACACCCCGGAGCCCGAGTCATGGCCCAGGTGCTCCCTGCGCTTGGTGCTGTACAAACGCAGAACAAAGACATGGTCCCTGCTCCAGAGCGCGAACGATCTAAGTATAAGACAAGAGACAACAGGTGGATACAAACAGATTGGGGAGTACAAGGGAAACACATTTCAAAAAGTCAGACATTCTCATAGGAGAGCAGGAATTCTGTTTTCTGGCCCAGGGGCTGTCATGATGTGCGTGGCCAGTAGTTACAAGACTGCGGCATGTGTAGTCACCTGTGTGCACAGCAAAAAAACACCCGGCATGTTACATCTTTTGACTAGCAAGGCAGTAAAAAAAAGTCCAGCCAGGCCAGTTAAAAACTGGCCAGGTGGCAACCGTATATGTAACTGTGACTACCTAGAGATGCCATGGGGCAGCTCATTGTAATGCCAGATGCCAGCCTGGCGGGACTAATGCACAATCTATTCAAAGGGATCCATCCTCAGAACAATGGGTCTGCTACAGGGAATGGTCAGTGCAGGGAACTGGACTTCCCAGTTTGGTCTGGGGTTGGGGGAGGGGAGTATGGTGGGGAGTAGGGACCCACCCCCCAGCTAAACCACCTGATTGGGGTTCTGAAGCTGACCAATGATGTCACATGACAGAGGGGACTGAAACTTTATTTAAGGGCCCGTTCTGCTTCACTGCCTCTCAAGGGCCAACCATCAGCCAATGATAGAAGCAGGACTGGCTTCCCACCTGACACTTGGCCAGAACTCCTCAGCAGAAGGGGTGAGTAGTTTCTCCCTCAGGGGGCAGAGCACATGGGGCCTTTGATGTTTTACCTAAAGATGTGTAACTCCTGTGTACGCTCTGAGAGGCAAAGTGCCTGTGGTTTTAGGAACCTGGTGTTCCTTACCTGGCCTGCTATGTGGTCACCAAAGGGTGAAGTTATTAACCAGAGCAGGGACGCCGGGGGGATCATGCAGAAGTGACTAGGGGGTCTTGGGAGGTTCAAGCCATGGTTTCAGGGCCTAGGACAGCTGGTCAAGGAAAGGGGCCAGACAGGTGGTCTGCCCCCCAGAAATGTGCCGTAGAGGCCCAGAGTTACAATGTTTGGAGCTGCTCAGACCCGGCTGGCTTGGAAGCATGTGAGCTCCAAGGTGGGTCCAATTTCAACAGACTGGTGACTGTCCACTAGAGGAACTCAGCCAGGTGTGTATCACATGGCCCGAGCACACAATGCCAAGAGGGGGTGGGGAGCTGAGAAGGTGCATGCTCGTTGCATGCCACAGACCTACAATGCAGAGACCAGGGTGAGGAGCTGGGAATGGGCATGCTCCCTGCCTGGCACAGTACAGAGCACTCGGATCGTAGCTGGCAGCTGAGAACAGGTACCCTAAAAGCATGCACCAAGCACACAGTGCTGAGACAAGAGGGAGGAGACGAGCACGGGCAAACTCAGTGCATGGCACAAGCCCACAGGTGCTGTAATCATGGCTGGGGGAAGGGGGAGTGAGTTCATCCCCTGAGATGGACAGAGAAGTCCAAGCTTCTTGGAACTATTATCAGCTCCACGAAGTGTCCTCAGTCAGGGGACAATCTCTCATAGAGATGAATGGGCCACTTCACAATGATGCGCAAAGGTATGTAGAGCCTTCTCCGTGTACAATAGAACGGATTTGGGATTGGGTCTCTGCATCTCCCAGTCTCCTG